TATTAGATGACAAACAGTATGCTGCACAATTACTACTGAATTCAATAGGTTCTTCTACTTACTCAATTTTAACTGCCCTGCTAGCTCCTAAGATGCCTAACGATGTCGAATATCCAGATTTGATTAAAACTTTACAAAATCACTTGTGCCCAAAGAAAAATGTTCTTGTATCACAAAACAAATTTTTATCTATATTTCAGCTAGAAAATCAATCTATAGCCGAATTCGTTACTACGTTGAAGCAAGACACTATCAACTGTGATTTTATTTCACCATGCCATTGCAAGACAAGTATTGCTGATATATTTCTAAGAGCACAATTTATTAGAGGTATACGTGATGATTCAATTCGCGAAAAATTACTTCAATCAAGTGGAACAACTTTTGACGATTTTGTTTCAAAAGCATTAGCTATCGAGGCTTCAAAAATAGACAGTCAAGCTTTATTATCCAACAGTGTTTATAATAACGTTAATAAAATAAATTATTCATCCAGGAAAAATTCACGAAATCAAAACCGTTCGAAATCGTTTGAGAGAAATCGATCCAAGTCAAAGTCAAGGATTGATTTCAAAAATTTAGGAATCGATCACTGTTGTATTAGATGTGGTAAAGACAATCATATGGTAAAAGAATGTAAAACAGACCAGAATAAATTAAAATGTAACGACTGCGGAAAAACAGGGCATGTCAGAAAAGTTTGCATTACAACTTTATTAGCGAACAAAGATAAATCAACGGCAGATACGAATTATATTCAAGATCAACCAGAAGATGAATCAGATATGGAAGAAATGTTTGGTGTCAACAACATTTTTGATATTTTTGAAAATCGAACAAATACTGATTCAAAGAAATTTTTTGCTACAGTGTTCATCGAAGGAAAACCTCAGAAATTTGAAGTAGATTCAGGGGCAGGATTTACTTTGTTACCAGAATCAAGTTACAATGCATTAAATTTAAACATTAAACTAGAAAGACCAGACATTGCTTTTAGGTCCTATACGAAAAATGTATTTTACCCAATAGGAAAAGCAAATGTTTCTGTTCAATATCAGAATAAATTTTCGAAGGAAGAATTCTGTTGTTCCAGACAATTTCGAACCTTTATTAGGGCGTATGTGGATTCGGCACCTAAATATCAATCTTCAACAAATTGACACGAATCAGCTTTGTACAACTCCAATGAATGAAAATAAAATAGTGGCTAGATTTCCAAAAATTTTTGAACAGGAAATTGGATTGGTACCAAAGTTTAAAGTCTCATTACAACTACGTCCAAATGCAAAACCAGTTTTTTACAAACATAGAGATATCCCTTACGCTTTGCGAGACAAGGTGGAAAAATAACTGGATATCCTAGAAGCTGCAGATATTATATCTAAAGTTGACAATAGCGATTGGGGATCACCCTTAGTTGTAATTCCTAAAGCTGATGGTGGAGTTCGTCTATGTGTAGATTATAAAATTGGAGTTAATGACAGATTAGTCTCAGCGAATTATCCAATTAGAAAAATTGAAGATATTTTAAACAGCTTAAAAGGTTCAACATATTTCTGTCGACTTGATTTATTTAAAGCATATCTACATCTACAAGTGAATGAAGAAGGTAGCTACATTCAAACTATTTCAACTCATCGAGGAACATATCGAATGCACCGTCTTTCTTTTGGTATCAAAACTGCACCTTCTGAATTTAACAGAATCATTGATCAAATACTATCTGATTTACCCAAAACTGATTCTTATTTTGACGATATTATAGTTCATGGGTCAACTAAGGAGGAATGTCAAAAAAACCTGATTGCATGTTTTCAAAGACTAGAAGAAGAATTTGATCTTCACCTAAATTCCAGGAAATGTACATTTTTCGAGACCAGTGTTGAGTACCTTGGACATGTTATTAAGCATAACGAAATATCAAAGTCTCCAAAAAAAGTTCAAGCCATCCTGGAGATGCCACAGCCAGTAGATGTTGATGGAGTTAGAAGATTTCTTGGAATGGTTACATATTATAGTAGATTTATTCATAAAATGTCTACTAAAACATATCCTTTAAGAAAGCTTTTACAAAAAAATAAAAAATTCGAATGGAACTCTTCCTGTGAATTTGCTTTTATGAACATTAAACAAGAAATAGCAAGTGATCAAGTTCTAGTTCCGTATGATCCGAATTTACCCTTAATTTTAGCCTGTGATGCTAGTCCTACAGGAGTTGCTGGAATTCTTTCGCATCTCATCGATAATGTTGAAAAACCTATAGGATTTGCTTCAAGATCACTGACCTCTAGTGAGCAAAATTATAGTCAATTAGACCGTGAAGCATTAGCAATAATGTTTTCTGTTAATCATTTCTATATGTACCTATTTGGTCGTAAGTTTAAAGTTGTAACTGACAATAGTCCACTCTGTAGAATTTTTCATCAAAATTCAAAACTTCCAGCTATGACATCCTCTAGACTTCTGAGGTATGCTTCATTCTTATCTGGATTTGACTATGAAGTTGAATTTAAAAAATCGTCTGATCATACAAATGTAGACTGCCTGTCTAGAGCTCCAATAGAACAAAAGTATTCGTCAATGGATAAATTTTTAAACGATGAGGTAGATCAACTTTGTTATTCAACAATTTGCCAGATATCGTCATATAATTTGACTCATGAAAATATCCGTTCAGCAACTAAAAGTGATCCAGTTTTGTCTAAAATTATACATGAATTAAAATCAAACAATAAAATTGATAGCGATCTTACGATCCAAGATGATATTTTGTTTAGAGGTCAAAGAGTAGTAATTCCAACTAATCTTCAACCCATAATTCTTTCTGAACTCCATAGTACCCATGTAGGTATAACCAAAATGAAACAACTAGCCAGAATATACTGTTATTGGAAGAATATCGATAAAGACATCGAGAAACTTGTTAAATCATGTCAATCCTGTGCTGAAGTCCATACTTCTCCTTCTAAAGTACAGTTACATCATTGGGATCTACCTTTGGATAACTGGGATCGTATCCACATAAATTACGGAGGACCTTTTCAAGGATATTACTATTTAGTTGTTGTTGACGCAAAATCAAGATGGGCAGAAATAAAAATTTTACGTGAGGCGCCTACTTCAGGGAAAATAATCGATCTGTTACAAGAAATTTTTTCTTTTCATGGATACCCTCGAATATTAGTTTCCGACAATGCTTCCATTTTCACTAGTGAACAATTCCATTCTTTTTCAAAGACACATGGCATTTTCCAAAAATTTATTGCACCAGGTCATCCAGCAACCAATGGTTTGGCGGAAAGAAACATTCAAACTTTGAAAAATCGTCCTAAGGCAATGTCCGATGATAGAAGTCCTATTTATAGGAAGGTTCAAGAAATATTATTTAAATACCGAACTACTCCCCTCAATTCGGAAAAATCCCCAGCAGAATTATATTTAAATCGACATGTTAGAATTAGACTAGATGCAATTCGACCATTCAAGCATTCTAAATCAGAATTAGATTTACCAAGAGTTCGTAGTTTTAAAATGGGGACGAGAGTACAAGCAAGATTTTATCAAGGAAATAAGATGTCTTGGAAATTCGGCATAATAACTAAAAAGTTTGGACGTCTTCACTATTTAGTCCAATTAGATGATGGTTACTCCTTAAAATGACACATAGATTAGTTACGTGATACCCTAGTTACAAAGAAGAGAGTAAGGTTTGCTGATGAAGAATTGGATGAATCTAATGAAGGACAACAGTCGCAAAATTATGAACAGTACCTACCTATTATTCTACAGCAAGCAAATAACAGACAGAATAATAATAATGATAGTGAAATTGTAAAGTCTGAACCCGAAATGTTTCACCCTGAAAGAATTCAGTTGCGGCGTTCACATAGAATTCGATATATGCCACAACGTTTTGTACCTTAGTAATTTTTCCCTTATTTTGTTAAAAAAAAAAGTGTTCTAAAATAGTGTGGGAGACTGTTATATCCTTAATACTTGTAGTATAGTTACTAGATTATATTGGTTGATGTCAGAATAAAAAGAGATTTGTCAGATTTTCAATATTAGCTTTCACCTCGTTTTTATTCAAATATTTACGGTTTCAATAGTGAGTCATAAGTATTGAGACATAAAGTAAACGCAGGTTATTTGGACCCAAAATATAACAATTTGACATAACAAGCTTCAATTAAAATTTTGTGTAGAAAAAGATACTAGGTGTTAAGTTTTTTTCGTATTTTAGTAATAATTACACCACATATTCATAAATATTTATCAAAATTGACAAAGGGGCATAACATTAGGCAAGCCATATTATTTTATTCATTATTTTATATTTGGTTAAAGGGGGTGCCACATAAGCGATTCCTGATGATGTATATACAGAATGGTAGATGACGTTAAAATCCATATTTCAAAATTATTAATGTTCTCATTTTTTTTTTAATTGTGCCGCGAACGTCTTTTTTTCTCTTTATTCTTGTATGAACTATAATAGTCATCAATAAAGCCGCATCACTGATCATCAAAAACGCGTAATTTTTCTCGAGCAAGAATATGATGTACACGCATCGGTGGTAAAATGAATACTAGTGGCAGAGACAACTTAGAGACGATTAACTATGCTTGAAAATTATTCCTATTATTCGATTATATTGCTAGTTCATTTTACTTCATGTATTTCTCATAAATGGCTCTTTGTCATCCCCATGAAAGGGGAATGCAGGGGGAGCCACTCTATTTTTTAAAGACGTTGCCATACTAAAAATTTTGTCCGAAATGCTTGATATTTTCGTATTTTTTCTCTTTGTCTAATTGATGTAATAAAAATATAAAAAGACCTGAAAAATAAAAGAAGAAATATTAATTTGGCAACCTTGTTTTGATTGACACTTGTCAAATTTCAAGAGCAAAGTTATTTCTTATTTCGTTTGTTTCCTAAATAATACATTATTTATGTGATTGTTATTTGGTTTAAGTGTGTATTTTGGCTTGTGTTACTTTTAGTTACTTTTAGTATATTAGTGTAGTCTGTTAGTTTGTTTTATTCATTGACATTGCATAAGTACTTTATAAAGATTTATCATGCCTTGTATTATTTGTAGAGCTGGAGAAAGCGAAGTTATGAAGATGCATTATTTTCCCTCTAATCTTGAAAGGTGAGCAAATATAATTATCTAACTGATCTAACCATTATTTTTCATGCAGTTAATCAAATTTTATTTATATGAATCAATCTTAGACAAGTACTTATTGAGTGGTTATCCGGTATAGCACCGAACCTAGGAAATGAACTGATTTCAAATTAAATTCACTGTTACAAATTGATTTAAGCTTATGTATATTTCTTTATGTATAATAAATATAGTTTATGTAAATGTAAACCCTTTCGATATTCTTTTTTTGTTTATGATTAGCATTTTTTTTTTCTTTTTAGATCTAAAAACTGGCAAGAAATATTGGGAATAAAGTACTCTGGGGACTCTCTTAGAAACTACAGAATATGCAACAAACATTTTACATCAGAGTCTTACATCGACTTGATAGGTTATAAGCTTAGGAATGATGCAGTTCCTATGGCTTGGCTGTCCTTTTCAAAGTCTGTACCTAAAGTATTGTCAGAATATAATGCAGAACATATTACCAGTATTACTGCTAGTGGTTCAGGACTTTTATCATCAGCATGTGTTGGTAAAGGTAATTATGATATACTTTTAGTATTTTAATTGTTTTTCAAGCAGGTAGTAGGACAAAGAGTGCATACAATTTTTTTCCTTTAATTTTTAAAGGTGGAAAAGACCTTGCATTTTCCTTCTCACAAATGGATTTCGGTCGAATTTGCTGAACTATAAATATGTTGGAAGTATTTGACATCCTGATTAAAATTGTCCCTGGGCACAAAGTTCTCCTATGATCAGTTTATGAGATATAGGGTTTTAAACTTGAGAATTCTCATCATTTTCAAAAACGTTATTTTGCTGATATTCATAAATATTAAAAGTTATAGTTTTACTCTCTAAGATAATTATTGTGACTATCAAAATACAATAGCAAGCTTTTTGGAAAACAACTATATAGATAGGTAATATTTTAAATTAAATTAGAACATATTTAAAAAATGTTAAACTCTCAAAATAATGATTAAAATAGAATATTCATATATAGTTATACAAGTGCATGTAAATGACACTTCATTATTATAAAAAATACACCTGTACAGGGTGAGCCAAAAAGTTGGTTCAATGAGTATCACTATTTTACAATATTTCCTTTATGTCCTAATGTGTTCCAAAAAAGCACATTACATTAACAAAAACATATACTTTATATATCATATACCTACAGAGAGAGTAAAAGTTATATCAGGTTGAAATATACAAAAATTGACAATTTTCGTATATAGTAACCTTATATAACTTTTTCTCTCCATATATGGAACATTATAAAATGCACTTGTATAACCTTATATAAATAATCCATTTTTATTAATCATTATTTAAACGATTTTTTAAATATGTAGTTTTTCTACTTTAATTAAAAAATTATTCACCCTACATTGTTGTTTTCTAAATAGGTTGCTATTGTACTTTGGCAGTCACAAATATCTTACCAGAGTAAAACAGTAATTTTTAATATTTATGAATATCAGCAAAATAACAATGTTAATGTCTCAAAGTATTTTTGAAAATTGTGAGACGTTCAAAAACTATCTATCTATCTATCTATCTATCTATCTATCTATCTATCTATCTATCTATCTATCTATCTATCTATCTATCTATCTATCTATCTATCTATCTATCTATCTATCTATCTATCTATCTATCTATCTATCTATCTATCTATCTATCTATCTATCTATCTATCTATCTATCTATCTATCTATCTATCTATCTATCTATCTATCTATCTATCTATCTATCTATCTATCTATCTATCTATCTATCTATCTATCTATCTATCTATCTATCTATCTATCTATCTATCTATCTATCTATCTATCTATCTATCTATCTATCTATCTATCTATCTATCTATCTATCTATCTATCTATCTATCTATCTATCTATCTATCTATCTATCTATCTATCTATCTATCTATCTATCTATCTATCTATCTATCTATCTATCTATCTATCTATCTATCTATCTATCTATCTATCTATCTATCTATCTATCTATCTATCTATCTATCTATCTATCTATCTATCTATCTATCTATCTATCTATCTATCTATCTATCTATCTATCTATCTATCTATCTATCTATCTATCTATCTATCTATCTATCTATCTATCTATCTATCTATCTATCTATCTATCTATCTATCTATCTATCTATCTATCTATCTATCTATCTATCTATCTATCTATCTATCTATCTATCTATCTATCTATCTATCTATCTATCTATCTATCTATCTATCTATCTATCTATCTATCTATCTATCTATCTATCTATCTATCTATCTATCTATCTATCTATCTATCTATCTATCTATCTATCTATCTATCTATCTATCTATCTATCTATCTATCTATCTATCTATCTATCTATCTATCTATCTATCTATCTATCTATTTATCTATCTCAAAAACTAGTCATATGGGATTCTTATATAAAATTCAGCAGATTCAACTAAAAGCCATTTGCCATAAGGAAACTACAGGGTCCTTTGATTTATGTTGGATAGTAATGATATAAACATATTTACTACTTTTTTCACTGAAAGTAAAGAAAGTAGCATTTAATTTAAAAACTAACATATTGTGCGACCAAGTAGTTTCGAAGTTTTGTTTTGTTTCAGAAAATGTAGAAGATAATTTCGAGGAACTTGCCTCAGAAATTACTCTTAAAAATGAAGGTTTGCCACAGCCAGATGTTTCTGAAACTTCTTCCACTGGACAAAGAACAAAAATATTCAGAAATATTGAAAATTTTGGAAAATTGCCAAAATTATTTAACAAACAAAATACATTTTGAGCACCTTGCATGTTTTGATCACAACAGTGATATCAAAAATATTACAATTAAATCAATTTGTAAAATTGGAATACCTTGGTGGTGCAAGAGAAAAATCGAGAATTGTTGAAATAAAAGTTGTTTGCGATATCGATGTCTATAATTTTTGTTCATACATCATTTTTCTAAAATGGACCGTAATGGAAAAATTGTAGGAAAAGTGCTAAATTTATATTTTTCAGTATTTTCGTTTTCAATGAATATCTATAGAAAAATGTTTCGAGGTAGATATATGTGGAAAATGTATATATTTAGTTTATTCTCCTTTAAACATTTATAGGGGTGCTGCAATAGGTTGTACAAAATAACTGGAAAAAGCCTGTAATAACTAGATAGGAAAGTCATGTGTTGGACACATCAGATTTTTAGATTAATTAAAAAAGAAAAACCCTGTAAATTATAAAAAAAATGCATTGTGCCTTCATTGGAAAGAAATGCAAATTTTCACAGGCATTTAAGGCGATATTAGCTAGTAAATTGTGATTTTGTAAACATGTTAATATTTCGGTGCTATAGCTTACCACAAAGTATAAAAAAGGTTAGAATTATTGTTAAATGTTTCCCCTGTTTACTGGCCTATTGTACCTATTGTAACAATGCATATTACGTGTAAGAAAGATTTTCTGAATTATTGGTTAATAATCGTAAAGAGACCATTTTTGTTGAGCATGAAAAAATGTGTTCAGATTATTTTTAAGAAAAGGAATTTAAATCTTTTAAAAAATACAGGATAATAAAGATCAAACTTATACCGTCTCAATATTTTTCCCCCACCGAATATTTATTTCTCCAAACATTTTTCAGAATCAGATTTTATTCAAATAATAATGTTTTTAAGAATTCATATTTATATTAATATCTTCGCGCCAGACAGTTCTACCATGGCACAGTAAATGGCATAGCAAATATAGTATGTGAAATAAGAAATAGAATGCCATTCAGGCAAATTTTCATATCAATCCATCAATCGCAATTCCAAAAACTAGTTCCTACATGTAGCCAGCAGGACAGCGTTAACCTCTTCTATAAGAAATTGTATCAACTTACAGTTGTTGAGATTGTCACTTAAGAATTGTTTCATTATTCATTATTTTAATTTTTTTTTAATTCACATATTCTGTTCATGCTCAGTCTTTCAATAGTAGAAGCACTAAAAATTCAGTAGGAAAAGAGACCTCATCATCATCATTTCATTTCATTACGTAATTAAATTCATGTGCATTGAATTATTTAACAAAAAAAGTAAGAAGACTTTGAACTACTAATTTTCTATCTCTAAAACCAATAACAAATTTAATTGTTCCAACTTTGTCAGGGTATATATGATCTTACAATCCTTACAATCACTATAATATAAGAACTTAAATCGGATGCATTTTTTACATCTCGAGCGTTTTTTATCCACATCGGACACATCTACTACATCTACATCTGCGTTTGTTTATCCCAGATGTACCTGTTTAGATTACATTTTTTACATCTCGATTTGAAATGAGATGTGAATGAGATGTTCGCCATGTCAGAAAGTAAGTGTTCTGTGAGGCCTTGTTTGTCAATTTATTCATTGTTTATGCTAGCATGAATATAAAAGTGATTAGTTTTTTTAATTTTTGTTTATATTTCAAATTTAGGTTGATTTGTAGTCCCAAAAGTCAAATTTAATAAGTATAAACTTCTAACTTGTCATTGACATTTTATCACGTGACCAAATAAAGTCTGGAGCATTTGTTTATTACATCTACATTCGTGATAAAAATGTACATCTCAGATGCATCCGATGTGGATTCTCAAACGCGGCATAAGATAGATTCTTTTTAAATTGGGTTTCCTAATTCTCATTGGAATTCATTTAAGTATAATTGTAAAAGGTATATTCAATTAATATTCTATAATATTCTATGATTGTTACAATTTGAGACTTGTAAAAATAACATTTCAAGAAGTAAAAAGTTTACAAAACCGGTTATGTCTGAACAGAACCAGAAAAACCAAAAAGGTTTGACAAAGTTATGTTCCTAATTTTAACCTAGATATTATTCATGTCACTTACTAACCTTACTACCATAACTTACTAAAACATACTTATGTTACCAGAGCATTTCTTTGTCTGCTTTGGTGACTGATGACGTCATATGTTACAAAAGCATATAACTAAATCTAACGAGCCATTTCTATATAAACGTATACTATACTATAGTAAAAAATATTCAATTCAAATTTCGTTTCGAAATCCCCAAACATAAATAATTAAATTTGATATGACATTATATAATACGTTACCATGATATGTGTGAGTCACCAGAGTAACCACAATACTGTAACCAATGCTGCTTTTGAAAAGTACATTGTTTTTATTTTTTTACTAGATACCGTTCTTTTAATACATCCAAGCACCGTTTGCTCCATTGATATGGTTTGTTCGATGTCACGTGACTAAAAAAATTTAATAATTCTGCTCGAGGAGGCATATTTCAAACGTAGCACAAGTATGTTGTAGTAAGCTTATAAAGAAATGCCTTTAATAACAAAGTGCAGATTGTCAGTGTTCACATATTACAGAACACAAACTAAATAAATATAGTTTAAAAAAAACTAAAAAACACGCTTTTAGAGCATATCAAACTAAAAAGTTAAAAATAATTTTTCAAATACGCTTAAAACAATAATAAATGGCAAATACTACTATTATTTCATTTTCTACTAAAGGTGGAGGGTTTAGTTTATAGTAGAAGGTTTGAGAGTTCTCTTCAATGTTGTGCACTCTACAAAGTTCTTGATACACTACGGCCTACGGCTGCTACTTTGTTGTGTCTCTCCAGGTATTTATGGTTTGCTAAGCATTGGCAGGCAGAAATAATATGTTTAATTTAATTTAAATTAAACTTTCGACATTTGTCCGTATCGATGTTTTCTTTCAATATATATTTTCGATGTTTTTTTGTATTCACAACATCTTGAATGCTTAGCATAAAACCCTCTGTTGTTTTATTATAGCTGTTTGCCTAGATATAGAGAAACTTTCGGACAATATGACATGTTTGTAGTATAGCAGCTTTTTGTATTTTGTTTATTTCTAACAATTTAATTTGATGTTCTCCTAAACACCACTCCTGTGACACCACTACGGGTATGATTTTTATATTTTTCAACTCCTAAATAGACAAATTTTCGTTTTAATTTCGTTTATCTGTTTCAGTTTTAGTTATCTGGAGGGCATACTGTATTTATTATCCAGCAGATTTGTTTTTTGTTAATAAGAAGAATGTCTGGTCTGTTATAGTCAACTATTTCGTCCGTTAACATTGGGTTGTCCCAGTACAATACTGCATCCTGATTTTTATTTTGTTTTATTTGTCATGTACACTTTTTCATAATTAGTAAAAGTAATAAAATGAGGATGTAAAAACGGACCTAATAAAAATGGTAACAAAATAATTAAATAATTAACTATTTCTACTAATTCCATTTTACTAATTGTAAAAGTCTCATTTAATTTGTAAGATTTTTAACTTTCTCTGTACAAAAGGAGATCCGATATTCATTAACAAAATCAAACAGATCAATAAAAACAACTTTCTTACAATCGCGAATGTTATGCTACCATTTGAGGTATATCAATGAGGAACGCGAGCGACGATTAAGCCAAGGCCTACTTTGTTAATGGTCGAGCTCCATGGCCTTGCGTTATCAGTCGCTCCAATAAATAATAAGAGAAATGCAGATGCCGAAGCAGTCAACCAAAGTGTTATCTATTTTTCATCAATTCGTCGACCGACATTCCTATTAGAAAGTAGCACAAGTGCTTTCGGATTTTTCTGATCTAATACTATTGCCGATTGCCGTCTATATTAATAAAACCTGATTTTCGAAACGTCCAATTATGGTTTTGGTTACACGCTTCGTAACTCAATTTAGCATATGTGCATTTACTCTCACAACTTCGAAATACTTTTCATTGGCAGGATCATGCTACTGCTTAAAGGTATAACGTTTCTTTAGTCAATGTGAAACTTTAAGAGTAGAATTACATTTTCTAATAGAAATTTGGATGCAATCAATAACTAATAAGTAGCAATCTTATTTAATGGAACCAAACTTTAAGAATGTGAGTGACACTTAGGTCGGCACCGTCTAAAATTATATCAGTTCAAAACACCACAAAATTTAACGATAGGTAATCTCATTTAATAAAATTAAAATTCAAGAAAGTGAATGACACTAAAATATCACTTCAAAAATACCATAATTTTAAAATAATAATAATAGCATTGATCATTTATTTAATAATAAATAATAAGAACCCTTTGGTCCATTAATCCACGATCTGTGCCAGCGTGAAGGCCCACCTAGATTGAGGTTTCTAACACTGTTAAAGTCTAATAAAAAAGACCAAGCTAGATAACTTACTCCTTCTAATCTAATCTAGTCCTTTGGTTTGAGTCAAGGTTAGGTAGATATGATACAACGTATTAACATTTTAAAGCTATTTTTTTGTGCAACCTTATAAACAACAATCTAGTGGGTGGACATTAATGATTATGATATAAACATTTGTAAACTAGTTAGGTATAGAAAGTTTTTGTTATGTGAACAAAAATGTAATCAGTAACACAATAATGGGAAAAAACAAACATAAATTAAAAGAAAACAAGAACTATTCGAGCTTTGGCTAGCTGCATATAGAAAGGGTAAAACTGTTTTAGTCAAAAACGTTTTTGTTTTAGACGAAAACGCTTTTGTTTCTACAATAAACATTTTATTTTCCAGATAATCAAACTGTTGCATGCATATACAACTTCAATATTGATTTTATATTAAGAAGTCGGCAAAATTATTCGTCGCGTATAACTATTAAACTGTCCACTGGTCAACTAGACCGTTGATAGTACTCAACCTATTTTTGAAGAACCCAAACAGACCTTCTATAGACATTTCATAACATGTTCTGATTGATTTCCATT